AAGGTAGTTCATGGTGCCTTGAGCGAGAAGGGCTGATAATTATGAAAAATCGAGTACTAAAAATTACATATTTTAAAACACAATGTTTTGTTAAATAGCCTGTGGAGAATAGCTGAAATACAGGACAAGCATGAAAATTAGTGTTTATATTACAAAACATCGTTCATAGGCCGATGTCCGGCCAACATTCAAAGCATTTAGCTTCCATTATTTTCCATTAGAATTTCCGGTCTCGGTAGAACAAAAAAATAACCGGAATACGGAAATGTTTTCCTTTCCGACATTGTGACAAGTGAATGAACATTACTATTACTACTTACAATTTCTTTTTATATGAAATAAATAAAAAAAATTAATTTATTTCCATATGGTGCCTTTTATTAAAAAAGCGTTTCGAACTAATTCACCTCAACACAAAAGGATCAATCTATATAGTATCCGAAACAAAGCTGTCTCTCATTCCTGGTTTTTTAATTATTTTTTTTCCTTGAAAAAAAAAACTAAAGATATAAAAAGGGGTGATTATTCAAAAGCAAAAGCAATTAAGAGATATTTAAAATTAGCGTCTTTTTCTAGCATATTTCTTTCAGTTTACTATTGAAGTTTTTTGCAAACTATAATTATGAATAATTTACAATGCATTAGTCATAATGAAAGTTACGATAGAACAATTAAATAAATAAGTAATGAATTGAGTTTATACATCACCTACTACATCGGAAAGCCTCCACACAGTCTGCGCAGACTATTTAAAAAGTGAACCAGTTGTGCGCATGATCCGAAATTCTATTTTAAAAGTAATTGAGAGCAATTTATCTTATTTGAGAATTGAATCTGTAGTGGTTGACAAGTAAATAAGACAAACCAGTAATATTCATAAATTAAACAAATTTTTAGGCATATATTTGCTACCACTTTCTTTTTTTTTACTATTTTTTTTTAAATAGCTCTTTCGTAAAGTTGTTTGCCTTCTTTGTACTGATTGGACTACCTATAGTTTGTCTACGGTAAGAACCCCCCTCCCCAAAGTCCGAGGCCGTCAGCTGCTATGGAAACAAGAATAGCGCATTTTAGAGAAGGTAGCTTCTTTTCACTCTAGGGCTAACATAATAGACCGGAGAAAAATATTACCTTTCACTCACCGTCCCAAGCCGGAACTTGTCCTAAACAATGACCCCACACCCCTACTTGAAATAGTTATATATTGTTACCATAGTCACCGCCACGGGTCCAGACGAATGGCTAGTGGAGTTCTTACTTTAGACAAACTAATATAAGTAACAGTGTGGAGTCTTAAGTAATAAGAGGCGTTGGTTTATACCAGCTGTTCTNCCACACCCCTACTTGAAATAGTTATATATTGTTACCATAGTCACCGCCACGGGTCCAGACGAATGGCTAGTGGAGTTCTTACTTTAGACAAACTAATATAAGTAACAGTGTGGAGTCTTTAAGTAATAAGAGGCGTTGGTTTATACCAGCTATTCTTAACCTATGGGTCGCGACCCAAAATTGGGTCGCGAAGCATATTTCTTGGGTCGCGCTGAGTCGAACCAAAAAATTTAGTTATACACCAAATAATAAGTAATACCAACACCTCCTAAAAGAAGTCATTGTGGCTTACTCAGCCTAATTTTGACTTTTTTTTGGGTCGCGACATGAACATATTTCTCAAATTTGGGTCGCGGCTTAAAAAGGTTAAGAATCACTGGTTTATACCACTTCTTACAATTTTGATTTCTGTTGTATTTTTTTTATATCTGTAATATTTAATTATGTAGTTTCTAAATAAATATAAAAACTGAAAAAAGAAATTTTCAATTATTTGAAGTGGCGAAAAATTTATCCCATTGTATATATATATACATATATTTTTTTTTTTAAGTTCACTTCTTCACCTATACGTCTTGAAATAAAAAAAAATTAAGCATTCAGCGCTTTTTTTTTACTTTGATAGAAATATGGTTTCAAAGACAGAAATCAATCTTCGCACGGTTGATCCCGTATCTAACTAGGGTTGAATACAATAATTAAAAAGATAACAACTGGTAGCACTAATATTTTCTGATATCCTTTAACTTATAAAACGATGAAGAGTGCGGGACAGATAAGTTAGATAAAGCTTCGACTACTTGCTCCGCTTTCTAAATCGACATTATCTAGTGGTAGGGAAGTTTTAATTTAGTAAATTTTATTTTAATTTATTTTTTCACCACTGTGTATCAAAAATACAAATTCGAAGCCTCATATAGAATCAAATTTTGTTGTAATTATATCGTGGGGAGAGTTTAAACGAGTTGTCGAAATCATTGGCGAATTTCCAGCCAGGGTTCACACTGTCTGTAAATTCTTTTAAAGTGTCTAGATGTTTTAAACTATCAATAAAAATTTAATTTAAAGGGAATATATGTGGAGGCAAAAGATAATTCTAGAATAATTTCGTAATTCACAAATGAAAGATAAATCTAAGCAAATTTCGGTGGTCTTGGAAAATCCTAGCAACCAATCATTTATTTTTCCAGGTCGTGGGAACCCTGTAAACCCTTATTCTAGAAGTTTTATACTTACTTAAACTTTTGCTCTAAGCAGAGCTGCTGGCATCACTAGTTCTAATTTAGATTTGTAATCGGTTAACTAAAAACATTTAAGAATTAAGTGGCTGCTGACTTAATTTATACGAATGTCAACTAAATAAACTAACATTTCTTTTATAACGTTACTATCCATAATCATTGCAATGTAAAAACTCGAGATTTAGAGACAATTTATTATATGAAGTAAGAAAAAAAAAGGAAAAAGCAAAGGATCACCCTTATAACTTTCGAAAGGTTGGTCAGATTTTTATTCCATTCTGTAAAATGTTATAGTGATTTCTCAAAGAAAGAAAGAAAACTCTTAAATTATAAGTAAAAGTTAACTGTAACGGTCCTTGGAAAATTTAAAAAGCGACATCAAGATTAAAAAAATAATAACTATTTTTGTACGTTTGTATTCACCACTTTGTTTAATATTTCCAGATCAATACGGAATTACGAGTAGCGAAACTTTAATTTTAAAATGAAAGCTAATAAAAACAAATTTGTAACTTCTTTATTGGAATATTAGAACCACTTTTAACTTTTTCTAAGGGTCATACGAGCTAAGAGTTTGCTTATTTTGACTAAGAAGACGCACTTTTTCTGAAGTAACGTGTTTTTTGCCATCTGATCATTATCAGTACATTATCAGCCCAAACTAAAGGAAGAGGTAGACGAAGTTTTGAAAAGATGGCTTTCAAATGTTTAACTGCTATAATGCTTCAAATGTTTGTTACTCTAATGCTACTTCAATTTGTCACATTTTTCTTTGTATGTTTTGATTGATTCGTTACATTTTAATAATTCTTTCATAAAAACTATAAGCCCTTGGCACAAAAACAAAAAAGAAATATAATGAGGAATTTGGATAAATTCAATAATTCAATTCAATTTGTTAATGAAGTAAACATTTTAGAATTGTAAGGCATACAAATTTTTATATACTTTGAAATTTAAATTTTTTAAACGTAAGTCTTACTATTAATAAAAATGGACTTAAACTTTAGTTTGAAAAATTAATAATTGAATGGTTATGAAAAGTTACTGTGATTATATCACCCCATTGAAGCACTTTAAACTCTACGTCATTTGATTCAGCCTCAAAATGCTCCGTGAAAATGTTTGGCTATCAACTACTAACTACGCTTTTTGCAAAATATTATATAGAATAATAGACAACTAAATTTTTCAGAATGTATGGAAATTTTGCCAACATTTTAAAAGTCTCACCACTAAGAAACTGGAACAAAGTGGCGTTTTCATATGAACTTTTGAATCATTTATAGGTAGTGGTGTGGAAAATAACATATAATCAAATTTACAGAATAAGGAATTATACATTAAAACGTCAACTTAGCTGCCACTGGAAAAATTTTCCCTATAAGGCGTAGAAAGTAGACGGCTGCGAGAAGGAACTGTTTATAGTTCCACTTACAAATGTCCTCTGCTTATCTTAAATTTCCATTCGAAATTCGTTTCTTTTTATTTTTTTAATTTATTTATTTTTTTTTTCTTAAAAAGTAGCAGCCGTTTATAACTGGTAGCTATGGTTAACTATTATTTTGCTGTCCTGAATTTTCTTAGTGTCAAGTCTATTTAGCAATTATCCTCTCGGAAAAACTCAGGCTTTGCAAAATTTGTCAGTATGTATGGTCTGTTTTTAATCTGCTAAAGAAAGAATCCTTATTTTTTTTCGTGTAGAAATTCACCAAGATTTTGCTTAAGATTTTTATTGTTGACAAGCAGAGCAGGATACGGGCTTTAGAGCAAGTCAAACATTACATTAGCAATTGCAACTCAAAATTACAATAATGAATTTTTAACATTTTATTTATAGAGATTAAAATCCTTTTAAACTTTTCCTTAATTTTATCTTCCTGGATTGAGTTTGGTTAATTTATGACTTTTTTTTAATCTTTCCTTACACTTAAATTATTAAAAATAATTTTTTTTAATATTGATAATTATTATTTGCTGTTGTTGTTAATTTACGTCGCACTAGAGCTGCACAATGGGCTATTGGCGACGGTCTGGGAAACATCCAATTATTATTTGCAATTACAAAAATAATTTTTTTAAGAATTTTTTTTTTACATCAAATTTTCTTTTATTCCATTTTTTCCTTATTTTTATAGCAATTCTGTATTTGTATTAAATTTGTATTTCTTACAACATTAAATTTTAAACAAAATTTTTTAGAAAACGAGTAAAAGCTGCTGTTAGAAAGCTGTTTTAAAAAGATATAAAACTATAAAAATAATAGTATTAAAAAAAAACTTTAAAATGTCAAATTGTAACAAGATCCTCCAGCGCGGTTCAATAAGTCTCAGTCTGCGCTGATCATGTATAAAGCAAGAATGTAACTGATATAAGCTGTGGATCACCGCTGCGAAATGCCAACTCACAGAAATTACATTATTGCTTGCAGCAGTTAATTACTGAAGTAGGTAACCGTCACCTATTGTTAAAAGAAGTAAACAGGGGTCAGGCTAAATAAAAATATGGAAATTACCATCTTCTAAATGATAAGTTTAACTTTATATTGCTGAATATTTGAATCAAATACAAAAGTTCTGCATCCAATCAGAATGCTCGTTGCTTTCGATTTGAATTTTCCTTCTTCCTCATTAATATCTGGTAAACAATAATTCCCACAACAAACGGTACGGGTTGATATAATTATCATATATTTTATGTTTTGATATTATTTTTAAAAAATTTCATAGTTGTCAACTCTTCCGCTTAATCCGGAAGATTTTATTTTTGCATTTAAAACGGTAGCAAAGTTTATTTTTCTCTATTTAATTATTAGGTTTAATGTGATAAATAATAATAAACCATGGTGCGATTAAGCTCTAGAATAATATAAAAATATTCCTGCCTTAAATTGTCATTTGCTTGTCACATTACTACCAGTTGGAAAAATCATGAGAATAAAAGTTGGCAGGCATGAAATTTTTTGTTTGAAAAAAGTATAGAAAATTTAATAGTTTTAAAACAAACGCTTTGCAATGAATAAAAAAAGTAAATTTTTTTTATCATGATATTTTGTATAAGATTTTCCTTTATTGCATTGATATTTTATGTTCATCTCCCCCTCATAACTAGTGATACTTTTGTATCTTCATTTGCTGGGACTGTTTTTAACATATTAAGATCATCACTATCGTGTTAGAGAAGATTTTTGTATTGTGATCTGCGGCTGAATTATCACCTAACACTGACAACTTCCACGCAGTGGCCCGCGAGATACTAAAAAGAAAAGAAAAAAAAACATCAAAGAAGGAGGATTTACTCTAGAGGTTTACAATAAGCCTGTCTTGATCTAACTCGAATCCACCCCTCGGAAAACCTTGCTTTTTTTTAAAAAAAAATTCTAATTTAAAATCTATTTCGAGCTTTAGTGATTGTAGTTGGTGCGACAAAAGCTTAAATCCCTCCAGATGTTTACATTTTTCTTAATTAAAATAGTGTATTCAGTAAGGTGATGTTTTAATAAGTTAATGATTTGTTCAAGAGTCAATGATTTTTCAAGATTCATAAGTTAATGATTTTTAAATTGAGGAAGATAGTATAAAAAGCCTGTCTTGTTTAGTTTCTTTGTAAATAGTGACCTGCTAATTATAACTACCATGTATAATATTTCCATATTAGAATCTATACCAAAATAATCACCAAGCAAGTTTAAGCAATTTCCAGGCAGTGACCTGTAAGAAACAATAAAAAACATAACAGTAGAGGACCAATTTAAATGTTATAATTAGTAGCATTTTTGTTAAAATTCCACCATTTTTTTTAAAAAATTCATTCATTTCAAAACAGGTTGATTGCAGTATTAATAACAAAAATTCAGTGATCTGTTGTATTTTCACATAATCTTATAAATTAATAGGGTTCGAATAAAAGTGTACCTAAATTTTTAATTTAAAAAAACTTTATGTTAGAATATTGCATTTTTCTAGAACTAGTATTTTTATGTCCTTGGTTTTTATCAGTTATAGGGTCCAGTCATTATAAAAATAAAAAGCCAAAATAAAAATAGTAATATAAATAAAAAATAATATTAATAAATAACATTTAAAACATTTACTGCTTTAAACACAAGTTGGAAATCGGAATTGTGTAATACAGCTTTGGAAGTACAGTTTTTTCGGTATTAAGTTATATGAAATAAGCTCAAATCTGTACTTTGTTTTAATAAATCTGTTAAAAATGTTCTGATCTTAAAACATTTATTTTTAAACTTTTCCTAATGAAAAAAATAATGGAATAAAACTACTAGTTTAAAAAAAAAATAAATAAACAGTTTTAAATTTATTTTTATTGAGCACAATTTTAAGTTTACCTACATTTATTAATTTTTTAAAAGTCAGAACGCTGTTTATAATAACAGTTTCTTATTATGGTAATTATAATATAGAATAATTTTTATCCCTTATTATTTATAGAATTTCTTATTTTTAGATGTCTTCTCATTTAAAATATGTTTCTCTAACTGTGCTAGTTTTACAAACAACTGCACTTGTTTTACTTCTGAGATATTCAAGGACAGTTCCTCAAGCAGGACCAAGATATCTTGCTTCAACTACGATTGTTATATCTGAAATTTTAAAAATACTTGCCTGCCTAGCTGTTTTATGCATTGAATGTGGTATGGTATTTTTCAATCTATTTATATAATTTTCTAATATTTATGTACTCTAAATGTTTAAATTAAATCTAGCTCAAAGTCGCCCTGCCTGGAGGCCAGCTAATTGAGAAAGCCTTGGCCTGCACTAGGCTGTAGTGCTGACGAAGAAGAAGAAATGTTTATACTGTATTTGCATGCAAAATCATTTGTGGTCTGCTATTTTGTGACCCTTTAACATAAATTTAAATCCCCGAAAGCAGTCATTAGGACCAGTCGACAAAAGATTGTAAAGCACTAGCAAAGAGGGTATTATAAATTATCCTTAAGTTTCCAGGAAATGAAATTAATTCTTTAATTAATCTGCAAAAGTCTTAAAATTTTACTTCATAAATTTCATTGACACTTTTTTTTTTTGTATTAGCTTTTTTTTATTATTAAATTTTATAGTTCTTTGTTTTTTTTAGTCCTTTTTAAGTACAGTAGTTTTTTAATTTGTATTGAGACTTGCTTTAATTCTTGAAATTTAATTAGCTTTTGAGGTTTATCTGTAAAATGTGATCAAAAATACTTTTAAGTCTAAGTTTACTCTAGTTTTAAATAGTATGCAAATCGAAGATTAAGAGACATCTATGGTCTTGACAGACATGTCAGAAGTCTTATTTTGTCTAACACTATTTATATTTTTCTCTTTTTTCTGATTAGTTTTGAAACTTGTTTTTGACATAATGTGTGTATATGTTTGTTTGTTTTCTTTTTTCTTCAATTTTGTTCCATTAAACTCCTTTTAATACACAGACTATTTTTAACAAACAAAACAGCATTTCTGCAGTCCTTCCACGTTTTTATATGAATAAGTAATTAATTTTTTACTTCTTGAACTTACTTTGCTTTTTACCCCTAATCTAAAATAGGGAATGTAACATTTACACAAACTAAATTGGCAATTAATTACTATACATCAAAGCATTAGTGCAAATTGTTATGGATTTCAACGTTGACCATTCACAAAAATTTTAATACAAATCTGCAATCTACCCTGTATTTTATTTGTTTCTCTAAAAAATAATTTTTGGCAAATGAAAGAGACACATTTTTTATCTCTCAGTACAAAAACTGAGACGATGGCTGAGCGGTAGCACTGTCGTGCGACAGGTCCCTGGTTCGATCCTTTGGACGGGCAAGGTTGACTCAGCCTTTCATCCCTTCAGTGGGTCGATAAATGAGTATCAAGCATGCTTGGGAACTAAACACTGGGGGTTCTGCGTTCGGCTGACCACCTGACCGAAACATCTGCTCCTGCACCCCAGAGCCCAAGGTCAAGAAAACTGGGATGGGCACAGTAGGTCTTGAGCTGTCGCGCCGCTGAGTTTAGTTTACAAAAACTCAAAATTCTATTAATTATAAAAACTGTATTTTTTCATGTTAGACAGTAATGTTTAAATAAGTATTCTATAAAAAATTAAATTACTTTTTTAATTCTTACTGTAAGAAATATTCAAAGTTTTTGTTGTAGGTGTGACTTGTATGTATGATCAATGAAATAATGACGTATACAAATATTTACAAAGCAGATTTTATTTAATTAGTATATTAATGAACAGTAATAATATCATGAATGATATAGTAATAATATTTGCTTCTCATTCTGCTTTTGTCGTTGTAATTATTTTTCCTTCTTGGCTTTTTTTTTTCTTCCTCATTGTTTATGTCTCTTCCCCTCTCTGCATTTTTAAAGGCGTTTTCTATAATCTCTTTTCTGAGGATTTCAGGATTGTTCTGTATTATTCCCTATTCTGAAAAATAAATTTTTGTATTAATTGACTAAACCTAGCACTAGAAGTCCAAAAATATATCTTTAACAAAGTACAAATATATTTTTTTTATGTGATTTAAAAAATTTTATTGTAGAAAAAGTTAATTGCTAAATTTTACTTAATTTCAAACTCAGTATCTACATTTTATACTAACTTTATAAAAATGTAAATATCAATTTCAATTATTCTTTTTTTCTTTTATTCCCTTCTTTTTATTTGATTAAAGTAAAATTAGACCAGAAATCTGCTCTTAATATTATATTTATTTTAAAAAATAGAGAAATTGCTATAAAATAACGAAATTATGCTTTATATGAGGAAAAAAAATTCTAAAATCATGTTTTTTTTCTTTTTTTTAATTTCAACAAAATTCTTACCTTTTAATTCATTTTCTTAATCATATTATCATTTACGAAAAGATTTTCCTGAAAAAGCTGTAACTTTTCAGTCCAAACTGAATTAATAAACAATTGTACATAATGCCTCATGCTGAAATAATATTCATAATTATATATTAACTGGGATTCACACAACTAGATCAAAGGGTATAGTACTGTTGCCATTTATATATTTTTCAGCATATATTTTTTTTGCATTAACTTTTTTTATAGTTAGTTTAAATTGCATTTGTGTTCAATTAAAATGATGTTGCTGGTGGGACTTAAAATAAATGTTACTCCTAGAATAAGAACATGTCGAAACCGCAACATTTGATAACTTTAATTTGAATTATTTTTTTTTATAATTTAAAGTATTTTAATCAAATGTTCTTAAATTTAATGTATCAAAACTTACACTCAAGTAAATTTTTTATGGAAGTATAAATGTAACTTTCTCTTGTGGATGTGACAATAATTAGGGATAAAATTAAATATACTTACCTTTTGTTACAAAGATTTGAGAAACACTTTTCTGCGGGCAAAAACACTGAATAATACCCCCTCCGATTATATATATTTAAATGTTTAAAGATTTTCTGAATTACTTGTTCAGTTATACAAGACCATGAAACAAAGATTTTTGGTGCAATCTTTTTACTCAGACATAGTGTCACTTTATGAATTAGAATAAGCAAGTTAATGACAAAATTTTCAATCTTATTTATTAAAATATGAATTGGTATACACTTTTGCAGTTAACATTCAAAATTTCAAACATATTTAACCCTTTTATGGGCCATTTATTTCTAGTGAAGATAAATTTTATTATTTATGGAATTAAAATTGTTATAAAAATAGTAATTAATATAAGCAAAAAAAACTCATTTAGTTTATAAAAATGACATTTTTTTGGTGGTAAGTATATTTAACACGACTTTTTAGGAACTTATTGACTTTTACTTTTCTTTATTTATAAAATACATTTTATAAATGCTACAATCTTCAAAAAGAATTGTGTATTTTATAACTTTTATATGTTTTCTTAAATTAACAAATACAGTGTAACCTGCCAAGTTGACCACCCTTGTTAGTTGGGCACCTGCATAAGTTGACCTCAACTATCAAGAACGGAATTTTTCCTATATAATATACAGAAGCAAAACATTTGTAACTTGACCACCTGTCCATCTTGTATGTTGACCACTGAAATAAGTCAATTTCTAAAACCCTCATAAGTTGACCAGGAAAAAAAATTCAGAAAATTTTCTGTCATTTTGGCAATGTATGTTACAATTTCACTTGTTTTGTGAAATAGTGTAAAAAGCTAATCTAAATCCTTTTGTGAGTTGACCATCAGGGAAAACTGTAAGGCGTCAGCTTTTGACCAGTTCTTTCATCCGTTCATTGAAAACAGGTGTGTTAGTTGAAAAGTTGCTCTTCCAGTTGCAATAGTGAGCATTTGAAAAAATGAATGCTCTGAAATATGCTTTGATCCTTTATTTATGGTCTTTGATCTTTAAGTGTAGTAAATAAATTTTGAAGTGTTCAAATAATTTTATTTTGTTAAAGTTTTCAAATTACATGTTTTCGTGTTCTGATATTTTAAGAAATTATATTTATTAAACACTTCGCATGCATAACTAACGAAATAATTTTTTTTTTTTTAATTAGTTAAATATTAGAATTATGTGTGTCAAATTGAAGTTCATTCAGGTTTAAACACATTTCTTACGATATTCATTTGCATATTTTCTGAATAAAATTTTTAAGTCAAGTAAAAAAAAAAAATATATATATAGCAACTTAATATAGGAAACGAAAAAGTAAACAATGGCCCACCCCCTCTATAAGTTGACCACTAAAACAATGCACCACAAGTGGTCAACTTACACAAGGTTTACTGTAGTTGCGAATTTTATTCAAACACACTTCAAGAAAGCTAAAGTTATTAACAAATGAAAACCTAAATCAAAAGTGGTAAAAATGTTCACCATGGACTTTGAAAATTGGTGATAAGTATACTTACCACGGCTTTAAAAAGGGTTAACTAAGTTAAAATTTTAAAATATGAATTGGTACTGTTAATAAACAAAATTTCGAACATATTTAAGGACTTCAAAATTTTCTTCCTTGTGTCCACTTTTTTGTAGATTGAGCTATCTAGTTAGAACTTAAAGGTTTTAAATATACATCTATAGAAAAAACATGCTTTAACAATTTATTATTAGTAGTATAAAACTTACTTTTCTTTTGTGTTTTTTCTAGGTTGGTCTTTGTCTCATTTAAAATTACTACTTTTTCAAGAAATTTTTAAGAAACCAGTCGAAACTTTGAAGCTACTTATACCAGCAAGTTTATATACATTGCAAAATAATTTATTATTTATTGCATTGTCTGTCTTAGATGCTGCTACTTATCAAGTAATATGCCTTATTATTTAATATTAATATTTAATTCAACTAAGATAAATTAAACTTTTTTAGCGTATTAACTATTTAAAAATCACTTTATTATGAAACTGAGAGTTTTGCTTAGGCTTTTAAAATATCATTGTGTTACCGAATCCTTGGAATCCTGCTCACATTTTGAGAAGAAAAAAATTGTATTAGAAGTTGCATCCTGGAATTAGCCTACAATATTGTCCTGGCATTTACTTACCATTGCAAATCCTGTAAAATATTAAGAATACATTAGTAATGTCATAGAAAAATGTTCAAATACTATTATAGGGAGCCGTGGTGACTCAGGAGCAAGACCGTTCGCCTCCCAATAATATAAACTAGGTTCAAATCCCAGCAATGGCTGGTCAATACAAATTCCGCACCGACCACAGTGCTGCTGTAAAATATCCTCTGTGGTAGATGGATCATGGGTTAGAATCCCCTTGCTCTCTGGCTAACTGTAGGAGGTTTTTCTCTCCACGTAATACAAATGTAGGTTAATTATATAAAAAATTTCTTCCAAAAAGGCAAAATTTCTCTCAATACTTGATCCAGGAGTTCCCTTGTCTTCTGGATTAGGTTCAAATTACATGGCTACGGAGTGGGACATGGTAGTCGTAAACCCAAAAATTGGGTCAGCTGTTCAATGACGATTATAAAATAAAATGCTATTATTGGAGCTCTGGTGGCTCAGGAGATAGAGGGCTCGCCTTCGGATGAGATTACTCTTCCACACTAGGCTCACATTGACCGCATTGTTGACACGAAATATCCTCAGTGATAGACGGGTAATAGAGTTCCCTTGCCGTTAGGATAACTACGGAAGGTTTTCATGGTTTTCCTCTTCATATAATGCAAATGCTGGCTCCATCAAAAAGTCCTCCACTAAGGCGAATTTCTCGCAATTCTTGATCCTGGTGTTCCCTTGTCTTCTGTATTGGGATCAAAATTACAAGGCTACAAAGTTGAACATTTCTTTCCAGTTGTGAACTCAAAATTAGATTAGCTGTTCGACAATGAAATATAAAATTAAATACTGTTACGGAAAGTGACGCCCGGTGGCTGAGCGGTAGCGCTTCACGCTGTCGTGCCACAGGTCCCTGGTTCGATCCTCGGGCCGGGCAAGGTTGTCTCAGCCTTTCATCCCTTCAGTGGGTCGATAAATGAGTACCAAGCATGCTTGGGAACTAAACACTGGGGGTTTCGCATTCGGCTGACCACCTAACCGGAACATCTGCTCCTGCACCCCAGAGCCCAAAGGTCAAGATAATTTAGATGGGCACAGTAGGCCTTGGCCCTCTGTGGGCTAACGCACTGCTGAGTTTAGTTTAGTTTATTATGGGAAGTGAATTAATGCATAGTTGATTCAACCCTTTTTTTGATTTAAAAAATAATNAACTAAACACTGGGGGTTTCGCGTTCGGCTGACCACCTAACCGGAACATCTGCTCCTGCACCCCAGAGCCCAAAGGTCAAGATAATTTAGATGGGCACAGTAGGCCTTGGCCCTCTGTGGGCTAACGCACTGCTGAGTTTAGTTTAGTTTATTATGGGAAGTGAATTAATGCATAGTTGATTCAACCCTTTTTTTGATTTAAAAAATAATAATGACTTTAAGTTGTCAACTTATTGTAAAAATTTTTAATATTTGTGCTTTATTCACTTTGTTTAGCTTTATCAATAGAATAGGTTTATTTACAAAAATAATATATTTTGTAAAATAATATATTTTGTAAAATAATAAATTTTATTACTTTACTTGAAGTAACTTTATTTTACAGATTTAGTCAGATATGTTTTATTAAGGAGGTATAAGCTTGATTCAATTACAGTACAGAACCCGTTATCCGGAAATCAGAAAACCGGAAAACCAAAAAACCGGAGCAAAATTCGATAAATTTTCTCGCTATTTTTTAAAAAAAAAAATTTTTTTTCCTCATAAGATTTTAGGATTTTTCTTTCTTTTTTGAAAGATGTTTACCCTAGCATCATTTTGGAAATAATTATTAGTGTATTACTTCGTTTTTTCAAGATTATTTCCGAATAATTTTTTTTTAGTTGGGTTTTACAATAAAAAAAACGACTTTTTGTAGCGATTCAGAAAACCGGAAAAATCAGTTATCCGGAATAGCGATGACCCCGATCGTTCCGGATAATCGGTTTCCTACTGTACTTAATACAGGGTTTCTTCAACAGTGCAAAAAAAATATGGAAGAAACTATTTTAGAATAAATAGACTTTCTTTCAAACCAAAGTGAAAGAAATGGAAAATACTATTTTTCTAAAAGAAGTATCAAATGTTATAATTTTTTTCTTTTTAACAATTTGCGCCTTGCAACATATTTTATAAAGAAATAATATTAACTTCTGAGTTATTTTGTTCATTATTTTTTAAATAAGTGAAAGCTAAAACATTGCTGCCAACTCTACTGGATTTTGTCTGTTTCTCCTGTTAAACTGAATTAATTAAAATTGTCCTAGTTTTTGTACATTTTAAAAAATTCCTTAAAATTGAGTAAGTTTCCTAAAAAAATCCTTATTGAAATAGAACTTTTGGACAGAATATTGCTAGCTTGCTTGAATATTTTAAAGTATTACTAATACATAATGAAGCAAACCTCATTCATAGAAATCAGCTCAAAACTTTTTGTGTTCAGATTATTTTTATTCAGAACTCTTTTTAAATTAATTAAAAAAATCTTTTAACTATCTTTGATGAATTAAATGCCTAATAATATTCAAAATTATGAGTAAACATAATACGTAACATTTCAAGTATGTTTAATGTCAATCATAAGTGGAAAATATTGCAGTTTTTCTATTTTGATGACTATAAAAATCCCTAAAATTCCCTATGTGTTCAATATTTAGTACATTATGCAACAATTATTATAAAATGTAATTATTTCATAAAATCTACTTTATTTTTTCCTATCTATGTTGGCAGCTATGCTAAAAAGCTACAATCAGAAAAGAAAAAAAGTAATGGAACCCATATGAATTTAAAACAACTAGTTTCTTTTAATATTTTGCATAAAGAAGCATAGTAAAATCTAATTTAATTAAAGAATTGTTATTAAAAGAACGATTAAATATATATAATGAAAAATTATTAATCCTATTGAATTGAAAAATTACATACTAAACATTTGTGCTTCTACAGATTGCAAATTGAATTTTTAATTACAATTAGTGTTCTAACTTTTTTAGTTGAATATTGCTAAGCATGAATATTCAAACTGACTTTTAAAAACGATTCATAGATTTAAAATTGTGTATCAAATAAATATACAGTGGAGCACCGTTTATATGACGTTTACATTTATACGACGTTTTAGTGTGGTCCCAAATCATTCCTATTCATTTTAATGTAAAAATATATCGTTTATACGACGCACAGAATCGGTTATACGTCGGTTTTTAGATTTTGTTCACGTTTATTTAATTTTTTATTTTTTCTTGTGTATTTTAAAAAAGGGCGGAATTTGCCAACATGAATGATACAGAAAAGGGTGCCAACAAGAATGCTTGGATGACGACCGTAATTTTTACTAGATGACTGAAAAAACTAGACAATGTTATGAAGAGGCAAAAACGAAAAATTTTGCTATTCATCGACCAATGTCCAGCGCACCCATCGATACTAATTATTTTGGAAAATGTAAAAGCTCTCTTTTTTCCTGCAAATTGCACAAGTGCGCTTCAGCCATTAGATTTGGCCGTGATTAGAAATCTAAAATTGCATCATAGAAAGCAGTAAGTTCAACTCGCTATTCAAAGCATTGTAGAGACTAATAGCAAGAAAATATAATTAAAGGTAACATACATTCAAACTGCTCACTGCAATTTTTCTTCTTTGGTTATTTGTTTGTTTTGCTTTGTCTAATTTAGAAATTTATGTAAATCAACACGTTAAACATTAAAATTAACTGAAAACAGAGTTAGTTTCAGTTTTAGAAGTAAAAATCGTTTATACGACGTTTTTCGGTGGTCCCTTCGGCGTCGTATAAACGATGCTCCACTGTATATAAAAATAGTTATTATTTTAAAAAATTATATGTGCAAAACTTTTAACTTTTCAGTACTATATCACTTTAATTTACACATTTTCTATAATACTTATGTTTTAATTAGTTTTATTGATAATTTTTAGTTTCTTACATTTTGAATTTTTTTTTTTCTGTGTGAAAAATAGGTTCCATCTGGATGAAATACCATTCTGACTTTACTTGCTGTACTTTTCTTTTATACAAATTAAATAAAAATAGTTTTTGAATATATGTTTATTACAGGGAATAATATATTTTATAGTTATAAATATAATATAAATGTTTCTTTTTATTAGGTGACTTATCAGCTTAAAATTTTAACCACAGCTATGTTTTCTGTTATGATACTTCATAAAAGATTAGTACCTACCCAATGGTTGGCTCTTGTTCTACTTATGATTGGTGTCATTCTTGTACAGGTTTGGAACTTTATTTTATAAGATCAATAAGTTTAGGATCTTTTGTAAGGGGGATTCTTTTGTAAGGTTCATCAAAAGTATTTTTTTTATTGTTTATTTCTCTGGAGAAAAAAAAGAAAAAAAATCCTTAAATTTTATACTGTTTTTACATTAATGTTTTTTTTAAAATCTATATTCAATACAGCAAATAAACTTTTTTTTTCTTCTTGGTGATACATTGTCTTTAAAAGTATTTTTTTATAATTAATTTTTAAAAAAAAAAACTATTTTTCTTTAATTTTGTACTGTCTTTGCATTAATGTTTTCTGATCTATATTCAATATAGCAAATTAATTTTAAATACGAAACGATTTTTATTTTTTTATTGTTTTTTATTTTGTGATACATTGCCTCCAAAAGTATTTTTTTATAATTAATCTTTTTTTCTTTAAAGAAAAAAAAAACAATTTTCCTTTAATTTTGTACTGTTTTTGCATTAACGTTTTTTTTGTTATTGTTATTTTTTTATTTTATGATAAATTGGCTTTAAAAGTATTTTTTATAATTAATTTTTAAAAAAAGAAAGACTATTTTTCTTTAATTTTATACTATTTTTACATTAGTGTTTATGTATCAATATTCAATTTACCAAATTAATTTTAAATACAAAGCATTTTTTATTTTCTGATACATTGCCGTCAAAGGTATTTTTTATAATAATTTTTTTTTCTGAAAGTAAAAAATTTCCTTTAATTTTGTACTGTTTTTGCATTAATGTTTCCTTTTCAATATTCAATATAGCAGATTAATTTTAAATACAAAACAATTTTTTTAATAATAGTAAAATTTTAAAGAAAAAACTAAAAGTAAAATAACTTTATCAAAACAATGTAGTTCATGTATTATCTTTCTTTCTAAAATTTGTTGAAATTGAGGAGCCAGAAATATTACTTGCAAATTGTTTTAAAGTATAGTTCATGCCTTATTTTGAATTTAATTTCTGTCTTAATTATTTGTTAATGTGATAAAATCTTGTAAAGAATAAAAAGTTTAAGTTCTATTTCTGTTTCATTAGATGCCTTCATCAGATTCCAATGTAAATTCTCCTTCTGAAAGAAGTATGTCATCACATTTCCTGGGTTTGTTTGTAGTATTAATAGCCTGTTTCTCAAGTGGATTCAGTGGGGTTTATTTTGAAAAGCTTTTAAAAAGCTCAGCCCAGTCTTTATGGATTAGAAACATTCAACTTGGTAAGCTTATATTTGAAAATGCTCATTATCAAATAGCAATTTCAACCATAAATCTCTTAAATGAAAGACTGTCATCTTTCAGAAAAAGGTTTTGTAATAGTTCTAAAAATGTCTAAACTATAGTCAGTTTGTGCGACCAACATCAAACTATATAGAAATAATCAGAAAATAGCTTTCATATTTCCCATGCAATGAATCTACTAAAGCTCTTGAAAATCATAGTGCTACTAAAAATTTTTAAAATATGCTCTTTAACCTTGTCATATTGTAATCTTGACATATTGTTATCTTGACATATTGTATTTTGGTATTGGTTGTTGCAAGGTATCTAAAAATATGTTTCTTGGTTTCTGTATAAATCCCAGATAGCAAAATAAGGTTTATTTCCACTCTAGAAAAATCTGTATGGAATCAGGAATGGTCTGTGAAATTGAATTTTTCCATATTAAAAGACTAATTTTGATAAAATTAATTTTTTCCCCGTCTGAAATTGGGTGGGAACCCTGTTTTAAAAAGTTGTATAGATGACCTTATTGCCGTATTTCTATATGTTTCTGCAAATATATTTCTCAATGTGGAAATATTTTCAAACTTAATATTTGCCACTGCTTTAAGAATCCAATGTTATTTTTTAAATAAAATATGATTTTTATTTTACCTATTCTTAACTTTCTAAAAATAAACTTCTCTGTTATTATTGTCGACTTGTTTCTACCTGAATATTGTGTTTACTGTTTTATCTCCAATATATTTTAAATTGTGTTATTAATTCAAATTTTCAACTCAATTTTTTTAATATTGGAAACCCTATGGCGGAATTTTTTTGGGCTTTCTGCGACATACTTCTTTAGTACTAATATCTTTCTGCTAGATACTTTTAATAATAACAAATACATATGTTACTAATTTTAAGTAACAGAAGGGACAGAAACATAAAATAAAAAAAATAAACACTTTTTAGATAAAAAAAAATAATTTTTTTAGTTGAATATATTATGTTTTTTTGTTCTTATACTATTGGCGACGTTCTCGTATTTTGTAGGGCGAAAACACACTAATTATTTCCTTTTTTTCCATTTTGTATATCTTTAACACATTAAAAAAATTATAATAATAAATTGTGAAATCCGTAGCTGAAATTACAGGGGAAAAAAAGATCAATGACGAAATCTTGCAAAGTGGACGCTTCAAGAAGGGGTAACTAAATGCATGTTTTCATTTTGAGATTCAGTTGTTATAGTAAATAATATCGTATTAAAAATATAGGATTTTAAAAACTATGTGGAAATCAATAGTTATTACTTCATTATTCTTTATTTTTCATTATTCTTAAATAAAAATAGATAAATTATAAGCATTTTTTGCCTCTCCGATGCGTAAGAAAGGCATGTTTTGAATATAATTCTGATGAAAGGCTTTCAGAAAATCTTTCTGCAAGAACTCGGTATCGTTCTGCAGCAATGTCGCTGTGTCGCCAGAATTCTGTCACGGGGTTTGGAAAAAATGAAAGCAGGGTGCATAGTGTTTTTAAAAAGTGCTTCAAGGTGGTTATTTTTGATTTACGTTTTTAAAAGCCCTTAAAGATGCTTTTTTTATTCAAAGTTAGTTAAAAATGCTTTTCTATCACTTAAAGAGAGATTTTTTTCTTTACCTTTTCAATTGTCGTTCTAAGTTACAAAAAATTCATAATTTTCACAATTTTCTCTGCGATATTTATCAGAAACTAGTTAGTTTTACCATGACTATGTTATGATTTTGATAACTTATCGTTTAAACTTTAAACGATAGAAAAAAAATAATTTTATTACTGCACAAAACCTAATTATGATTTTTTTTGGAAAGTGATTACAAATAATTTTTGAGTGCTTGAAAAGTACTTAAAAGGAGCTTATTTTTTGTTGAAAAATCTGGCTAATGACCATGTAGTTTCCACAATGAGAGGCATACTTTTTAATTATAAATTCTATCTCATTTTTCAGCTATCTTTAGTGTCTTCCTTGGTATTGGAGCTGTAATTTTTCAAGATTATGAAGCTGTTTCTCAGAATGGTATTTTTCAAGGATATTATACAACAACTTGGATACTCATTTTTTTGCAGGTATGTTACAATTTTGTTTATAAAAAGCATATTAACTACACTGGTCAATTGGTTTAAGTTTAGTTACTCGGCGCTTAAAGCAGTATTTCATTAAGTAACATCACACTGAACAAAATTAAAAATATTACAAGGGAATAGTTGGAGCATTGCCAGATTGTTACGTTTTTACTTCCTTGATATTGTTCACAAAACCAGAAGAAAGGAAATTTTCATCAATTGTAATAAATTGTGCTTCTTATAAAAAGGAATAAAAAATAAAAGAATTAAAAATGATTTTCATTACAGTTTATCAAAACAAACTCTTTAATCTATGTTATATAATATATATAAAAACCATCTATGTTTATAGAATGTTATTAACTGTTGGAGTTATAGTGGTAAATAAAAAATTTTACTTGTGATATTTTTAATATCATTTACTATTATTAAAACTTATCAGCAATAATTTTCTGAGAAAAATTGAAGATTAAGTGAAAAAGCAAATGGGAAAAAATTTATCAGTATGATTTGATAAATTGTGTGAGTGCTTGTCCCGCGTGTCATTTTTATGAACGATAAAACTGTATTAGACCTAAAATAAATGCTATTATATCAGTGAATAAGAAAGCATGCATGCTTTAGCAATGTATTTTACTTGGCCGGATATCGTAAAACAGTAATAGACTCTTATGTGTTATGCCATACAATGAAAAGTGATGCCTTTAGCGGTATGTCTCAGATTTTGTGGTATGAATATTTTAAGTTCAAATTATCAGGGTAGGTACTATATTTACGTCACACTAGAGTGCACTCTGGGCTATTGGCGACGGTCTGGGAAACATCCCTGAGGGACCGATACTGCGCACCCTCAGGCCCTACACAGGCTTATCAAAGTGGTCACCCACCCGCTTACTGACCGCAGCCAGTGATACTTGACTTAGGTGTTCTACCGAGAACCGTGTCTTTCCGATCAGTCCACTGCAGGACAAATTATCAGGGTAGAAATCTTTTTGAATTTGTGACTCTGAACTAAAAATAATGTATAAACAAAGCATAACTTGAAGGGATGAAAATCGTGCCCGAATTTGCCTCCTAGCAACTCCCTAGAATAATTTACGGACAAAGTGCAAATTAAATTTGTTAAAATTGTACATAAAATCATGCTATAGATTCTCAAATATCTTCTTTTTTTTTTTTTGTTACAAATATATATTTTTATGATATTTCTCTAGCAAAGTTAGTTTTGTTTTTGATTTTTACAGAATAATATTGCATAAAATGTATAAATACGAAAAATTTAAATGTTAGTGTTGTATTATAATGACCTGAAACTAAATTATAGTTGCTTTATAGATATTTATTTATTTTTTAAGGTAACTTTTTTCTTTCTTTTGTAGGCTTTTGGAGGATTAGTTGTTTCAACTGTGATTAAGTATGCTGATAATATTTTAAAAGGATTTGCAACTTCTGTTTCAATTGTAGTTTCAACTATATGTTCATATTATTTATTGGGGGATTTTCAACCTACTCAGTAAGTTTTACAAAAAGCCTTTTTATTTACCTTGATCTTAGATTGAATAAATTTCATTTAAAAAAAAATTTTTTTATTGAAACATTAATGATAACGAGTGATTGCATTCCGGGCTTTTCGTATCATCCATCCGAATCTGGAAATTAAGAGCAGGGTTGACACTGGCGACTGAACTGCAACTTTTTTCGACCTGAGGCGACTATGGCAACTTTTTTTTGACCTGAAAGGGCTAAAAAAAAAGCAACTATTTTCTAGAAAAAGAGACTATTGGGAGACTTTTCTGTGCTCCTAGCGATGTTTTTTTTTTTTTTGGAAGGAAATTGCACAAATNTTTTTTTTTTTTTTTTTTTTTTTTTTTTTAGCATAAATCGGGTTGACAACCTCCGCCCTGCGGTAGCTTTTGAACACAATGACTTTTTTTTTCTTAAAAAATAAACAATTTTGAATTGCAAATTTGAGTCATCATTTATTAATGCCCTCAATTTGCACAGATTCCATTGTAAATCTATTTTATTTCTCGGGTGCCTTTTCAACGGTTATTGAAATCCTGCATGATTTTAAAAAACCTAAATAATGCAGTATTAAGATGTGTGAATTTCGAATTTGAATAAGCACTTTTCACAACATATATTTGCTAAATCAATTATTGGTTAAACTGAAAATTTTTTTGAAAAAGTATGTTTTTTTTTTTTTTAAATGAAACAATATTTTTTTGAATGATTTCTAATAATTAAAAATATTTCATTTTCTGCAAATATACTAATTTTTTTGATGTAAAAATTTAGTTCTAGAAACACTAACGTTTATATAAAAATTTTCATTTTTGCTACCCACTTGACTAAATGGATCATGGTATATGATAATTTAAAAAAAATTATAGTCATATTTTTGTTCTTATTAAAGCAACTATTTTCATACTTTTCGGCAACTATTTTCATGCTTTAAGCTACAAAAAGCAACTATATTTTCTGTTGCAACCCTGCAAGTGTAAGGCAGGTGATTTTTCCTCGAATTTTGTATATTTCAAGACCATTGGTGCATGGACTTCTGCAAGTCAAAAACTTATAATCCGGCGAAATCGCAATCTGTCGTTTTACTGGGATAGTTGAGTGCATAGTGGTCAATGCTGACCAAGCATAAAGAAAAACTAATCTTTGAACTTATAAAGAACTTTTATTAAGTAAGAAAAAAAAATATAGCTTAACTTAAACATCACATAACTGTGAAAGAAAACGTAAAAAATACACTTACAATTAATGTGTAAATTTATCTTTAAATTATTTTTAAATGTTCGAAATAAACTTAAAATAAAGGTCACTGTCATTAAATCTTTTCTCTTACATTTTCTATAGTCATTGCAAAAAATGATGGCTGTTGTAGTTTGAGAGATTTTATCAGGTTTTTTTTTTTTTTTTTAGTTAAAACTATTTCAGTATAAAAATTTTAATAATATTATTATCAAAAGCGATTGTAATTATCAGCTTGTAAATATTCGTAGTAAACAACTTCTGAATAATATAAAAATAAATATATGAAATATTCAGTGTGTAATTATTTTGCAATTTCCTTTTTGTTGATTTTACATTTTTATTTCAGTACGTTTTTTGTTGGAGCAACAATTGTTATAATTGCCACATTATTGTATGGATACCCTGCAAAGAAGTTAGAAAAATGCTCAACTTTGACACCACGTGAAAAAACAATTGGAAGATGATCCCCTTACTTTATTTTTAAAGGCCAAAGTTTTAAATATTCGGATAACTCGACTCTTATAAGTCATGACCCCATACTTAATATTATTTATTTTTGTTGTGAGTTGTTATTTATTGTTATTGATTTCTTAAAAGTCATTTTATTAAGGAGACAATTTTTTTAATTTATTTCCACAATCTTAAGAAGACTCAATGTTGTTGTAAGGAATAATATTATTTTATTCTGATAAATATAAAAGTTATATTTTTTTTCTTGTATTTGTTAAAAATAAGATTAAAGTAGCAATTTAAAAAATTCCATGCTAATAAGTTAGCAAAACAAAGATTAAACACATAATTTTACTAAACATTTTGTTGGAATATGTTTGATTAAAGTATTATTATTTAATTTAACTATAGTTTTTAAGAGCATTTATTATGTATCATATACATGTAAGTTTAATTTCATAGTGGTATATTTTCTGTTAATTAAAAGAAAGGGGATATAATCATAAAAATTAACTAACTATCCTTTAAAATGAAATATATTTTATATTGCATTTAAGATACAGTTTAACCTAAGCTATGTATGTAGTAAGTTATTAATCGATAATTTTTTTTTTTAATTTTCGTACAATTATAGAATGTAAATAGTTTTTCGGCTACAATTTCTAGCTCTGGAGATTTATGTAAGAAAATTTATAATAATGCAATAAAAAAAAAGTTTTATTGTTTTAAAATTTTGAACACATTTTACATTAAACGGGAGCAGCACAGTAGAAGCCTGAAAAAGAGAACAATTTTTTAATGAATCTAAAACGATTGTGATAAACTTAATACACTTTTTTTAATTATCTTATTGTATATATTTTAGTATTCAGTTTACAATGTGACTAATACAAAAAAAAATTTAAAAATTAGTGCGTATTTAATACAATTTTTAAAACTCATCTATATTATCTATAACTTTCTGTACTCATAAGTTTAAATAAAACACCAACACTTGATTTCTTTTTTAAACTACATAAATGTAGTTTTTGTTGTGCATAGGATTTTTAAAAAAATAACTATGAATGCATGAATACCAAATCCATAACTGACTTCTTCACCATTGTTTTTAACAGTTCTAAGTGCTAGTCTTGCTCTTTTTCTTATTGATCTACCCTGATGTGACACCTCATATGTTTTTAGAGTAGCAGCTGAAATTTTGCAGTCATTTTTATTTTGAGCCTATTCTCAGAGTTCTGGGCCAACATTTATTTCTAAGGTGTTCCAAAACTGCCAATAACCGTTTGCAATCTTCATTAAAAATTATTACATCTAAATAAGCTGCAATTTAAATTATTTATAATGAAAGTATCATTAATTTTTTTTTCTTGCGTAAATTTTCGTAAAATATTTCAATAATGTTAAAAAGATAGTATTTTACTAAAATTCTTTGATAGGAGTGCATAAATTTATACACACATGTTCCTCTGTTTATATATGTTGCAGTGCATCCTGCACCATGCTCGACATATTATGCTGTAACTTTTACAGTTTTACAAAAATGAATGCAATAATCTCACAAGTATAAATTATCCAAAAATGCAATATAAATTGCTTTTAATTTTTTTTTTTTTTAAATTTACTGTGTTGTTCCCTCATAATCTATAAAATTTAGCCCGAATCAGTTTTTTTTCTTCAGTATATTATTTAACTATTATTTCCTAAAAAAAACTATATTACTTGAATGTAAATTAGTGGAGCTTTTTTTTTTATAGAATTGTTGTTAAAGTGGAACAAATAAACTTCTTTAATTTTTAAAAAATAAATAAATGAAATTAAACATGCAACTTTAAAAATAATATATTTTAAATTAAAAGCAATATTGAAAAATGTAATTTGATCACATTTAGAATCCTAACTGTTTCTCCTAATATTTATTATGATTTCTGTGAAAGGTTTGTCCTACATTATTTAAACATAAATATATATAATTTTCAGATCATAATTCTCTGTCATTTTAAAGCAAATTACATTCTATCAATACATTGGCAATGAAAGTTATAAGATATTAAATAATATCATTTTATATTGTTGTTGATTAATGAAATAATAATACTAATACTTTGAATTTTTCACTTCTAATGCATATATATAAACTGAGAAAAATCTTTCAAATTCTTCAAAAAGGTATTTTATAAATAATATATGTTTTGATTTATGACAATTTAATATTTTATTATTTTTATGTTACTTAAGTATATTACTTAACGAGGCTATAATCAACTTAAAAATCTTGTGTTAATAATAAATTATTACAGTTTTATCAAAGTTTTAAGTGTTGGTTCTGGTTTCTTAATATTATGTTTATTAATTATATTAAATGATGTATATTTAATTTGTTTAAATTTCCATTTATTCTGTATTAATTTCTCTAAAATTTTGAAATTAATACAGGCTACAAAACTAAATGTTAATGTGTACAAAATTAAATGCTAAAATTTATTTTTTTAAATGTCGATCATATTCAGCTGGTCAATTTAGAAAGAAGCAAATTGTTTTGTTTAGGATAACATCAAACTATCATAATTAAATTAAATAAATGCATGACTGATAAAATAAAAACAATCCATAATAATTTACATAAAGTAATCTTTAATCAAAGAAATTTTCTATTCTATATGTATCTCAACCACAAATAAAAGATTTTACAGTAAAAGAAAATAGCTGTTTAATAATGTGAATTGTATTCTAAATTTTAATTTTCAGGTATACTATGTTCTGCCGAAAATCTTTTTCAATACCCTATTTTTGAATGATTATGCTCTTTCACTTTTAATTGTTGAGACATTTTTTTTCATTTAATCTAGATTACCACTCATTTTGTTATGATTTATCAACTTTAAAATTGTATGCATAGTTATATGCTGTTTGATTTAATTTGTAGTTGTCTGATAAAAAAAAAAACAATCCATAATAATTTGCATAAAGTAATCTTTCATCAAGGAAATTTTTTAATCTACATAAAGATATTTATATCTTAACAACAAATAAAAGATTTTACAATAAAAGAAATAGTTGTTTAATAATCAAAATTGTATTCTAAATTTTAATTTTCTGGTATACTATGTTCTGCCTGAAATCTTTTTCAATACCTTATTTTTGAATGATTATGCTCTTTCACTTTTAATTGTTGAGACATTTTTTTCATTTAAATTACTACTCATTTTTTTTATGATTTATCAACTTTAAAATTGTATGCATAGTTATATGCTGTTTGATTTAATATGTAGTTGTCTGATAAAAAATAAAAAAAACAATCCATAATAATTTGCATAAAGTAATCTTTCATCAAGGAAATTTTTTAATCTAAATAAAAATATTTATATCTTAGCGACTTATAAAAGATTTTACAATAAAAAAAATAGTTGTTTAATAATGTGAATTGTATTCTATATTTTAATTTTCAGGTATACTATGTTCTGCCTGAAATTGTTTTCTATACCTTATTTTTGTATGATTATGTTCTTTCAATACCAATTGAGACATTTTTTCATTTAATCTAGTCTACTACTAATTTTGTCATGATTTATCTACGTTAAAATTATATGCATAGTTATATGCTGTGATTTAATATGTACGCATAAATGTTTTATTGTGTATATTTTTACGTATACTTATTGTATTATGTGCATTAGTTGTATGTACATGTTTTTATCTATTAATGACTTTTCAAATTTGATCATTGCATGTTGAATAAACCAGAAAATGATAAAAATAAAAAATGCATTGATTTTTTAATGGAAAAAAATTTGTGATTTATGGATACTGTTCATTAGCTTAGAGCTCAAAAAAATCTTGAAATTTTTACAAGTTAGAGCATCTTTTTTGAATACATATTGAATATAAAACTTAAATGCATCTATTATTGATCTGTCGAAAAAAACATTTCCTAGGGATGAAGAGGGAAAAGAACTAAATTTGGTAATAGTGTTTTTCCTCCGTCTTTAGAAAGTGAAGCATCCAACGTTTTTGTATTAGATGTGACAAAATCGAATTATTTCATTCTTTTTCTCTCACATTAAAGAACAGTCTATTGTTTAAATATTTTATTTATTACAAACAATCAGAAATATTCTGTTCATTTATTATGTTGAATACCCCTCAGGGGGTTTACCTTCTTAAGGTAAACACTGGGAGTCCCTCACCCAGGGTACCCTAGTGATCTGTCCTTCTTTTGTTTTCCTCTCCCTTTACTCCTACTTTCCCCTTTTTTCTTCCCCTTGTCTTGGTTGCCAAATTTAAAGATGAGGGCTTTTCATCTGTGTTCGTTTACCACCCTGTTGTATCAGAACCTGATGGGAAGAGACCACCCATGTATTCGCTGTGCATGGAGACCCATGTTCCTGGATAAAGGGATGATAGTTGAGGGGTATCCTGGTACCCCAACACACTGCTTTGGCCTTCGCTTCTGGTAAACTGCATGCATCGATTATACCATGCACAGGAAAAGTATGTTCACCTAGGGCTTTAATAGATTATACTACGCATAAGGGCATGCATACGCAAAATACCATACATATGGAAAAGTTCATGTAGGTCGTGCATTTGTACAGATTTTGCGGGAACACGTATCACAGGTACATAAAAAAATCGCCTAAATTTAGTTGTATTTTATAGCTGGGTTTGAAAGTTGCGTCCATTTTAGGCGATTCCACCCCATAATGTTCAACTCCGTAACCTTATTTTGAATTCAACTCAGAAGACCAATGTTCCCTTGCATCAAGGCATTGGGACAAATCTTTTGTAGCGGATTTTTTTTTTTTTTTTTTTTTTTTTTTTTTTNTTTTTTTTTTGTGATTGAACTAACCCGAATTTGTGTTATATGGAGATCAAAATTCTCTAGTTCACACTCAAAGGGTGTTCTCACGCATGATTCACCGTCAACCCCGAAATATATTTTCTGCCAGAACTGTGGTTGGGGCGAGCTGAAAGCAGAATTCACATTGATTAGCAGTTGCTGAGATTTGAACCTGGGTCTTTGGGAGGAGAGGGCTCTATCCCCTGAGCCACCATGGCTTTGCAACAAGAATTATTGACGCCTGTGATGCTTTATTAATTTTAGTTGTGGCAATAGGTACTTAATATAGATGCTACAGTAATAGTTTTTATCATAACCCCCCTCCCACCATTGATAAATAGTGTTTTGCGTGAAGATTTTAATCATGACCTTAAAATTCTAAGCAAAAAGAACAAACACGCTAGGCATTCTGCTAGAATGTTGTTAGACATAGGAACCCACCTTTACTTTGGTTAGCAGATTAAATTAGCAGTAAAAGCAATTAAGGGGTGTTACACGGAGATTTATATTAACCTGTACTTTTAACACTTTTCCTCATTCATTAATTCAGTGCAAGTAAACAAGAAGCCAAACCACAAATTTATAGACGAATTAGTTCAGTCACAAAAGGACCTAATTCTAAAGTCAACTTTTTTCTT